GCTTGGTTCGCACTGACAGAACCTAAAATGCCCGGAAACATCTCCTGTCCATGCCTGCGGACAAGTCCACTTGGGCTGAAACATGGTTTTGCGTCTGTAGATGAGCTGGTCTGTATGACCATCGCCGTAAAGCTGGTGATCCGTCCCGGGTTTCAAAGCCTGCTGTCCCTTTAATGTCTGGTTTGACAGCTTTGGGTGAGGAAGCACTTCCAACAGCTGTCTTCTTGGCAGTGCACCAAGCGCCGGCTTAAAGGGTCCCCGGCTGGAGCAGCTTCACCTTCTGCCTCAGAACAAACCCAGCGATTGTTTCGTTTTCCGGCTGCTTTCCTACCGACCAAGGGCTGTGTTGTGGCACTGTGCATGCCTTTTGTACCACAGCTCTGCAATTCCATTCAAAATACATACATTCTGTCTAAAAACTTTTTCCTGCCGCTACGGTTATGTGGGTGGGAGCCCTGCTTTGGTTGAAAATTAGAAGTGGTTTGGGTTTTTTTTTTTTTTAAAGTCACTAAACTTTCAGAAATAGCTGTTCTTCAGTCATTTCATGTATATTAGATACTTTTCTAGATCTATATCTTGACTACAGATGGTAGGCACACCCTGGTTTTGCCATCACTTATTTCATTGCTGCTTTTACTGTACATATTTTGTCAATAAATACATCTGGGTTGATACTTGCTAGGAGTATTTTCTGTGAGAATAACATCTATTTTGGTTTTCATTTTCTATTACCAAAAGATGATGAAGATGAGGAGGAAGAGGATGAAGAAGAAGAAATAGATGTTGTGACAGTGGAGAAAAGACGCTCCTCCTCCAACAAGGCTGTTACCACCCTTACTATTACAGTGCGTCCTAAAAATACCACTTTTCCCTCAGTCAGGACACAGCAGAATGAACTGATTTTAAAGCGTTGCGCACCAATTCACCAGCAGCATAACTATGCTGCTCCTTCTCCGTACATGGAGAGTGAAGATGCTCCACCACAGAAAAAGTTAAAAACCGAGGTGCCCCGTCCAGTAAAACCCATGATCCAACCAAAGTCTAAGAGTTCAAGTCCTCGAAACTCTGATTCAGAGGATAGCGAACGTCGACGCAACCATAATATCCTGGAGCGTCAACGGCGTAATGATCTACGGTCAAGTTTCCTCACATTAAGGGACCATGTTCCAGAACTGGTTAAAAATGAGAAAGCTGCAAAAGTTGTGATCTTGAAAAAAGCCACTGAATACGTTCATTCCCTTCAGGCAGAGGAGCAGAAGTTATTGCTAGAAAAGGAAAAATTGCAAGCCAGACAACAACAATTGCTAAAGAAAATAGAATACAAGCGGACTTGCTAAACTTTGTTTTGTTTTGTTTTGTTTTGGCTGACCAGGACAGTCATTGCCATTTTGCACATTTTTGATTCTTTAAAAAAAATTGTGTTTTTTGACGTTAAGAATGTTGGTTTTACTTTCAATCCAGTCCCTGAAGTAATTGACAAACTATATTATCCGGGTACGGAGCAAATGGATGTTCTTGCAAGGAGTTTATTGCAAGACTACCAAACAACAATGGACTGCCTTTGTTTTTCTTCTTAAGAACTGTAGATGGTGGGGATTTTTTTTTTTTTTAAATTGTTGTGAGCATTTGGAGCTGCTGATGACATCTAGTTGAGTTTTAAAACATTCATTCCTAAGTTTTATGGTGCTTATGTTCTAACAGATGTTACTTTAGGGGTTGGCATTTGTACCCCTGTGGGAATTTTCTGTAAATACCATCTACACACTTGCCTTTTGTACATGTCTTGGGTTATGAGAGGTGGCTTTTGCTACCAGTATTAGACTGGAAGTTCATACCTAAGTACTGTAATACCTCAATGTTTGAGGAGCATGTTTTTGTATACAAATATATTGTTAATCTCTGTTATGTACTGTACTAATTCTTACATTGCCTGTATACTTTAGTATGATGCTGATACATAACTAAATTTGATACTTATATTTTCGTATGAAAATGAGTTGTGAAAGTTTTGAGTAGATATTACTTTATCACTTTTTTGAACTAAGAAACTTTTGTAAAGAAATTTACTATATATGCCTTTTGCTAGCCTGTTTCTTCCAGTTAATGTATTTGTTAATGTTTGGTGCATAGAACTGGGTAACTGCAAAGTTCTGTGTTTAATTTCTTCCAACGATGTACATTTAGTGCTGCGTCTTATAGCACTTTGAAATACCTCATGTTTATGAAAATAAATAGCAATTACATGATGTGCCATTTACTATTTTTCTTTTAACTGAAGTTCTTTTAAGTAAAATCTTTAACTTCACAACGTTCATGAAATACAAAAACTAAGGGACTGGCTTCACTGTGGTAGGCAGGTGGAGAAGTAAATGATGGTGGTACACTTTGCTACAGCATGGAAAATGAAATATTTGTAGTAAACAAAGATCTTACTTGACTGCTGCTCTTAGTTGCAATACAAAAGGCTTATCTGTAAACCGGTCCATCATTGCATAGGAGAATTAATGTTCTTGCTTGTAGCTGAAGATTCTGTTTGTTACTGCTTGTACTAAGTTAGTAAAATTACAAATTCCAGGATAGATACAGTTCTGAGGTAACAGAGAGCTGTGAAACATGCGTCAAATGGCATGTAGTCTGAACAATGAAACTTGGCAGGTGGTTGTCTAAAGAGGTGTGATGGCATTTGCTGTGACAGGAGCAAAACATGTAAGTCTGTGAAATATGTTTGGTTATTTTGGTAAGCTTCCTGAGACCAAGGAGTTGTTTCATTTTCTAGTCTGTGCAGGTATTTTTGACATTGTTTTTCCCCACATTGAAAAATAAGATATGGATTAATGACCAAGTGGCCAGTAAGTAGTTTAAGGATCAACTTGCAAGGGACATCTGCCCCTACTTTAGCCACGAAGGAAGTAATTGCTTGTGATGGAGGTACAGAACATCTCATATTTGCCATGAAGTAACAGGGTCAAAGCAGTATGGGGGCAAAATCGCCACAGTTATGGATGTGCCATATGTCCATGCCCTGCAGTAGCTTGTTTGTGTGTACCCATAACCTGTGCATTCTTGGGCCCCAGCCAGCTCCTGTACCAAGAACACTGGGAATTGAACCTACTAATCATTCAGTGCGGTAAATCCAGATCCTCAACAAGCACAAATTGGTGTAACACTGTTCAGATTCAGCTAGGCCTATGCAAGGTTATGTCACTTGAAGAATTGGCCTGAACAGGCTTAATATCTTCTAAATTCAGACTTGAGGACCACAATCATTCCAAAACCAGAATCATTGTTTTCATTCCCTTGATGTGGACTTGATCATAGTTCTTCCACTTTCCCAGTACAGTGAAAAAAACAGTAAAAGACAAAGCCTGAGCAGATAAAAATTGGTGTGGACAATCATAGAGTACATTTAATTTTACAGCAATTTTACAATATAATTTTACAACAAACTATTTTCAAACCCCATTATATCAGTTGAACTGCTGTTCTGTTTTCAAACAAGGTACAACTCACGTGAGTCTTCCTGAAGGAGAAGGAAAGCTTTTCAAACATCCATTGTATTGTCTTTCTAACCTGTGCCTGCTTGACTTCCACAAGGGCTTCTTAACATGAATTTACAGTTAGACTTAGTATAATATTTAAAAAAAAAAAAAAAGTTACAGCTGTATACTGGCCAAATACTTTCCTACCAGATGCAAATCATATTCCGAACAAAAGTAAATCACAGAATGATCTGTCACCATCTCCTTACAGTCTAGGAATGTACTGTCTAAGGATTGAACATGCAAAATTGAACAGAGATTCCCCTTGCCTCCCCTCCCCTCCCCTCCC